TGGGCGGAGGGGCCAGGGCCAGAGCCAGGGCCTAGGCGTTGTGAAGTTTTCACAGGGCAGTGGGCCCTCGCTGGTCCGGAGAGCCCACGTCCGGCACTTGGACCGGGGAGAGACAGGGGGTTATCTGGGGAGGGCTGTCTCTGGGGCTCAAGACACTGCCCTGGGACACAGGCCTTCCAGACCCAGGCAAGTCCTCCTTAAGGCCACCTGTGGGTCATGGGCACAGCGAGGGCATGCTGGAGAGTCCTTGGTAAAGCAGGTAACTCTCTGGGGTGGGCACCCCCTCTCTGCCCTCTGCTGCCTGTACCCTCCACCGCTGGCTGTGAGGGCAGGTGCCCAGGGCTGGCCCCCAGTGGAGGGTGGGAGGCAGTTTATACCATCAGCCTCCTGGGGCAGAGTTACGCCATCATCACAATAGAACATTTTCTTCACCCCAGAAAGGCACCCAGTACCCATCAGCCATCACTCAATCCCCCTTCCTCCCAGCCACGGCAACCACCGATTGGTTGGCGTTTTCTGTCTCCATGGATTTGCCTATTCTGGATATTTCGTATAAATGGAATCACATGACGTGTGCCTTTTGTGTCTGGCTTCTTTCACTCCGAATCTTCGTTCTCAGGGTCCAACCACAGGACCTGTGTTGGTAACTGGGGTGTGTTCGGTCTTGGCCATGTTGTATATGCAATGTTTCATGGATTTGTGATGATGGCTGAATACGACTGTCCTAGTCGGTGTGGGCGTTAACTAGTGCCCCAGAAGAGGCTATCAGATTAGGTTCTTCATATTACTTGGTTTCCAGCCACTTCAGCCACTTCTGCAGGCTTCATGGTGGCCCCTCCCACGAGACACCTTGACCCCTCAACACCCACTCCTGGGGGCCTGCCCACCAACCAGCCCCGATCCTGCCCCCTGCACCTCAGTTCATCACCCGGTCTCCTGGCCTCATGGAGGAATGACCCCTGCACAGCCCCCACGCTGGCCCCTGACCTCTAGGCACACACAGGCACCAGTACGCACTCACCACAGGGCCCTGGCCATCCTCCCCACCCCTATGAGCCTTACTTCCTCCTCTCCAAAGTAGGGGACACCCCCTGGTGCACAGGGCGGTCTAGAGGGAAAAAGGAGGCAAGGAGAACAAAACCCCTCCCAAGGTTGCCTCCTCCAGGAAGCCTTCCTGAACATTCCCGAACTCTGACAGCATTTTATCCACACTGTCAGGCCTTGAGGTTCAACCCATGCCCGGGGTGTGCTCTCCAGAGGCCTGCAGGGAGACAGCATCTGGCAGGCCTGGTGAATGTGAGAGCTGTGCTTGCACAGCACTTCCCAACCTGCAGGCCACTCGAAGGACTTCAGGACACAGCACTGAGCAACTGCTAGCTGCTATTACTCCCTCCCATGATCTGAATGGATGAGAGGCACGGGGCATGAAGGCTAAGGAGCCAGCCCCGAGGGGGCATCCCTTGGCTTTTCAGAACCCTCCACCAAGAAACAGTTAGAGCCTTATTCAGCAGAGGGACTCCTGGATAAATGCTTGGAATATCGGCCATCGGCAGGCTTTGCTGCCTGCACAGGCTCTACAGCTGCATTCCTGGAGAAGGTGGAAGGGCCGCAAAAGAGAAATCGCAGAGCCAGCAGCCAGCGCTGAGGCCCAGCAAGCTCTGCAGGCGAGGGGTGGAGGGGACAGCAGGAAGGGGCACAGCTGCTATGAGTGCATCCGCTGCCCAAGAAGCACCTCCATACATGGCTGTGCAGTTGCCGCAAGGAGAACAGCCAGTGCTTCCTAAGCATCAGCTACGCACCTGCCAGGGCTCCCCCAGGTGTTAAGCCCCACAACAAGGCGAGGCTGCCAATGCTAGGAGGGCAAGTGGGCCTGGACTCCTGTGGCTCCCCACTGCCATCCCATCTATCTACAGGGCACATCCCTGAGCTAGGGTCCACTTCCCAGGAGCCGGCTCCAAGTCACCCACCCCGTTCCCTCCAGGCCAGGCCAGCCAGGTAGGGGCAGAGGATACCCCTGGAGGCATCCGGTTGGTCATTTCAGTGCAGAATCCACACACCTGAGCCCCACGCTCCAGGGCTGGCTGGGTACCCTCTCCCCACTGTGGCCAAGGAGTGGCGCAGGCTAATGAGCTGCTCAGAGGGACAGCGGCTGGGCACGGGCAGCCCTGCACATGTGCCTCTGGACACTGCCCTGCACCTCCAGCAGCGTGACCCCACCGGGGGCTCCGCCTCTAACTGCCACACTGGACGGGACACAGGGCCTAGGGCTGGGGCTGAACTCGGACACCCAGATCCTTGTGCCCACCGGGCAGGTCACTGGCCCACCTGAGCCTCAGCCCCTCATCCAGAACATGTGGGCTTCTTTGGGGCACACACTCACGTTCTGCAGGGAGTCCTGGTAGGAGGGCGGCAGGGACGCAAGCTGCGACTCTGAATGGTAGGGCGAGAAGCCTTTCCGCAGCGCGCGGAACTCTCCAGAGCCTGCCTGCTGCAGGGGAGAGAGAGAGAGGGGTTAGACGGAGGGCCAGGCTGAGGAGGCCAAGAGCCCTGGGCGTGGCTCCTCACAGCAGCACGGTCTGCTCAAAGGCACGGCCTCAGAGGACCCCTCCACCCTCCCCTCCACACCCCTTATCCATCCCCCAAGCCGGGATCAATCGATCTTCACTCTCCCCAACTCAGACATCAGCGATCCACTCTCCAGTGTGGGCTTCGTAAACATTTCCTGGATGGCTGAATAAACAGAATGAATGAATGAAGGAGAGCCAGCAAGAGTCAGTGAGGAGGGAGCATCTCTCCCACCCCGCGACCCACCCTGGCTCCTCCGCTCCAACATCCTGCCCTTGGGTCCCTGCACAGACAGCACCCAGAGGGCCTGGGACAGCCATTGGCAGCACACGGGGCCACATCCACAGGCAAGGCCTCCCACCTCCCATGGGTTCAGGACTCTAGGGAGGCTCTGCCCGGGCTGCCTCCGCCATCGGACGGACAGAGAGCTCCTAAAGCAGGTCCTGGATGCTGCCTCTGAATCCCTGAGAACTCGTGGAAGGAGCTGTAACTAATGCCCTGTGCACAGGAGGGAGGGAGGAAGGCAGGCTTGGCCTTAGGCCCTTTGCTTAAGAGCAAAGCAAACACCCCCACCCCCCAGAAGTTGGGGCTGGGGGCTGGGAACAGGAGCCAGAATGAATCCACGGGTCCCATAAATGTCTCAGTGTGCGAAGGTCAGTCCCACAGTGACCCTCCCATGGCCCAGCCCAGCAGAAGGCATGGGCCTTTCTTTCTGCATCACTAAGGGGTTTTGGGTGTTTCTGGCCCAAACACCCTTTTCTACTTCAAAGGAACTGAGAGAAAGCGGCTGGGCAGATAAGACACTGCGGAATGTGCCATAAATCAGCAGGCTGTTGAGTCAACCCAAACAAACTGCAGAGGAGAAGAGACAGAGGAGGCCCGGGCTGGGGCTGGGCTGGGGCTGGGCTGGGGCTGGGCTGGGGCTGGGCTGGGGCGGGGGCAAAGAGGGCAGGACAGGCCACAGCCATGTCTGGGGTCCCAGTTCCATGCATCAGCCCCTTGGCCTGGCTGTAAAAGATCCCCCACACACCCTGCTTGCCTCCCTCAAAAGCTGGACGTGGCTCCGCACTTCTCACAAGCCCCAGCCTCACTGAGGCCCAGCTCTGTGTTCTCCCAACCCCTTCAGAGCCCTGACCAGGCCCCCCACCGGGGCTGGGCGGTCTCAAGAGCATGGCTTAAGGGCCAGCAAACAGCGGTGTCCTTCGAGGCGGGTGAGGAGGGGAGTGGAGGCTTTACTACCAGCTCCCACAGAGGTCCGCGGAACCATGACCGGAAAGCAGGGATCCGGGCAGTGGCTCCCCTCATTAATTAGCCCACACCCACCAGACTCTGGTCAGCCAGGGCAGCCAGGCACTGGAGGCTGGGGGCTGCTTCCTGGGCCTCGGGAGGACCTGGGTGTGGCCGAAGGTCGGGGAGGGGCATAAAGGAGAGAGAGAAGTGGGAACCAACCTTCCTGCAGGGCCCCCAAAGTGTGGTGGGTTTTAGATAACCCTGGTGAGCATCGCAAATGGGTCTCAGCACGGGGACCTTGGGTACAGCCCTGAACCATCAAATGGGACTGCCGTGTCCCGACCACGGCATTAACCCTGGCTGACCCTGCCCAGGTTAACCAGAGGCACTCACAGCCCCCAGCTGGGGGTCAGATCAAGGAAAGCCCCCACCCACCCACCCACCAGGTACCAAAAAGAGGAAGAGGCTACAGCCCCCACCCCTAGGCCCAGCACTCACTCACCCTCCCCCAACCATGAGTGACACCCCTCCCCCCACCCTATCGGAGTCACCCATGCCTCCCTGGGTCACCTCTCCTGAGAGATGTACCCCTAGCTCCACTTAAGGGGACAATTCCAAACCACCTGATTTTCTTTTTTTCTTTTTTTTTTTTGAGACGGAGTCTCGCTCTGTCGCCCAGGCTGGAGTGCAGTGGCCAGATTTCAGCTCACTGCAAGCTCCGCCTCCCGGGTTCACGCCATTCTCCTGCCTCAGCCTCCGGAGTAGCTGGGACTACAGGCGCCCGCCACCTCGCCCGGCTAGTTTTTTGTATTTTTTAGTAGAGACGGGGTTTCACCGGGTTAGCCAGGATGGTCTCGATCTCCTGACCTTGTGATCCGCCTGTCTCGGCCTCCCAAAGTGCTGGGATTACAGGCTTGAGCCACCGCGCCCGGCCTAACCACCTGATTTTCTTGGCCAGGACTCTACAACAGTAAGAGAGTTACAAAATCTTCTCCAATGGAGAATGCATTCTAAGCCAGCACACACTCTCAATGCGTGTGCGCACACACACAGAGTCTGACTACTGGGCCACACAGCCAGGAAGGGTACACCTGGGATTGGAACCGCTACCCTCCCATCCAGCCGGCCCTGCCCTGCCCAGCTTGTTTTGACTCGGGCGTCCCTTCCTCCCACATCCTCTCTGGCCCTCGACCAAATGGGCTCCCACGTGCTGTTACTGAAAACTCAGTTTGTGCTGCCGTCCTCTCCCCTCCCCCAGATAATTTCCCTCGGAGGAGATGTGTGCATGAGCTTGAGGGAGGTTTTTAATTAGCTGCACGCAATTCCCACCCTTGCCTTCGCTGAGCCTCTATAAACATTTGCATGTCCATAGAACTTTATTAGCAAGCCACAAAGCCAGGCAGGAAAAACGCACAATCTCTCATTAAGGGGCAATGTGACTAATGACGCATCAAATGAGTAACCATTATTGCACTTAAATCCAAATTAAAAATCCTGCTATGAGACAGGTCGCTCCCTTTGCAGAATGAGATTCCCTAGGATTTCACCGAGGAGGGGAAACAGGAGCTGAAAGCACCTGCTGGGCTTGGTCTTCGAGAAAAGAGCTCGCAGCTGAGGAAGGTGCTGGCCCTTCCTGGGGGGTGGGGGGGTCCACTGTGCTCCCCAGAAACACCCGCCTGCCCAGTCTCCCTCGGGTGGCTCCCTCAGGACCCAGGGAGAAGGGATCTTACACACAGAGCTGCCAGCTCAGAGCTGAACCAAGATTTCCCGAATCCTTAACATGGTGGCCCCTTCCACTCTGGCCAGACCCAATGCACATCACCCACTTCTAGGGCTTCCAGAGGGCAGCACGAAGGTTCTGGACTAGGGAGGAAGAGACCCAGGAGATTGCAGGGCCCCTTTCCCACTGAGGACTGCAGTTCAGGACACCCCCAGCCTATATCCAGGGCCTTGACTGCAACCTTGCCCGACTTGGGACCCAGTGGGGACTCGCTGGGTGAACTCCAGTTGCTCCCTGGCCCTCTCTGGGCCTCTGCAATGCAGCCCCACCTCCTCCCCGGCAGCGGCTCAGGGGGACTCCATCCTTCACCTTCCTGACTTCCCGGGAATTCCTGCCTGCAAAGCTGCAGGGGGCCTATGTATGCCACCCTAGGGTCACCGCTAGGGAGCATTGTCAGAGGGGGTGCTGAACAGAAGGAGGATGAGACCTGGAGCCCACCCACTCCAGCCTGCCCACCTGAGGCTGCCTGTTTGGGAAGGACGGGTGGGGTGGCTGCGGGTAGGAAGCCCCTTTCTGGGCTGTGCTCAGGGGAGCTGCTCTCACCCTGCTTCCTGCTCCCAAAGAGCTTTTGGGCCCTCAAATGTGCCTTCTGCTGCATCGCTTATGTGTCTAAGAGGCACAAACAGCACCTCCTGTGTGTCAGGCACAGTTCTGTGCCCCATCAGGGAGGCAACAGCTAAAGGGGAGTGAGGGCTGGGGGTGGGGGTAGAGGCAGGCGCTGAAGAGGGGTGCCCTCTGTCCCGACCTGGCCAGCCTGCCCTAGTGACCACTTGGACCACCAGCCTCAGGGCCCCAGGCTGATTCATACGGAATGCCCCGGGAAGGAGTCCCCTTAGAGGGCCACCTGGTGCGACTCTGGACCGGTGTCTTAGTGCTCGGTGCAGGGACGGGTGGGCGCCTGCGAGGCTCCTCCTTCCTCAGCACCCTCCAGGATGCCCGACAGGTGAGCATGGGCCCTTGGCACCGTGTGGCACAGCACAGCTCGGCTCGGCTGGACAGCCAGGTGCGGCCAGGGTCCAGGACCACAGGGGACAGCAACGCAGCCACGCCCCCTTCCCCCTCCCAAATTTAGGTCATGCCAATGATTGCGTCTGACTTAGGAGACACTGTGGGGCTCAGGGAGAGGACCCCAACACAGGCCTCCCCAGCCCAGCCTCTCCTGGGTCAGATGCCCTCCTGCTTCTGGCCTGTGGGGGCTCCAGGCGATCTGTCACAAGAGGCCAGTTTTACCCAGCTGAAGAGCTTGAAGGTGCCGTCTGCAGGGAGGGGCCTATGTCCACCCTCAGAGTAATGGGAACCTGGGCAGGAAAACGCCACAGGAGCCCAGGTCCCATGCAGCTCCTGCAGGCGCTAACAACGCCTCTGCCCTGAGCTTGTGCTGAGATGGTCTCCAGATCCCCATGGTCACTGCAGTCCCCAGGCTGGGACGGAGTCCAGGTTGGCGGACAGGAAGCTGGAGAGAGCTCCTTCCAGTTCGCATTTCCCACCAGTCCCACTCCCACAGATGAGCCATCATCCCAGGGGCTACGGAGGAGAGAGGTGAGACCCGGGGGCAAGGCCAGAGCCCAGTGGCCACCCCATCCCCAAGACCTGGTGACCTCCCTCCAGGATGAGGAAGCACTGTGGGAGCTCCCAGGGTTGGTCAGTGACGCGTCATCAATGGTCTGGGTGCTGAATAATAAACCCAGGGCCTGAGCGGCCTGTCAGGCTGACACCTCCCCCCAGGAAGTGCTGGAAGACGGTGCACCCTCAGCTGGCTGGGCTGGGGGACCCACCTGGAAGCAGAGACTCCAATGCAAGACTTGGGGAGACCATTCCTCCACCAGGGGCCCCAGCAGCTCCAGGGGCAGCTGGGGCCACAGACTAGCCTGGACTCCACTGTCCTGCTCCAGACTAAAGCCCACCGAGATTCA